CGGCTTCTCTTTCTCTTCTAGATCATCCAAGTAAGGGATTGGTTTTGGTTCTACTGCCTTCTTAGTAAAGATAAGATTTACATAACTTTGGTGCTACTCTAGATCAAGATAATGGCATTCCAGAGTATGTGTACCCTATAAAATATGTGAATTGTTGTGGTGATGGATCTTATGTAAGATTAAAACTCCACATTTGCATAATGAAGTTGCCAAGCTGGTGGAGCTTATGATACCTATGGCGCTTAGTGAGGGAACTATGTATAAAGAAATGTCTTATACGGTTGACAAGTTTATTTCAACTCAAAATGATTTAAACTCAAATCATATAAACTTAAATTAGTTTAATTTTAAAAATTAATAATTTGAATTAAAAATGTATAAATCCCAAGATTTAAACCCAAATATCTCAAGATGAGTTGAATCAAAATTACTCAAATTTGAAATTATATAATTTCCTTCGTAATCTGACTTAAACTCAACCTGCTCTATCCAATTGCGACCTTTACTGTCTTGATGATCAAGATATGTAGTGTTGTCAACATAATATACAAACAAGTTGTGTCTTTGGTAAGGAACAAAGAAAGGATGAGGTGAAATAAGTAAATATTGTTTTCGCAAGTTAAGGTTTTTAAGATTAGATGTGGGGGCAATTTAAAAGTATTGATTTTCCAAAAATTTTCTAAGGAAAAGAATGAGATGATTCTGATAATCAAAGAGCAATTAGTTATTAATTTAGAAATATATCCAAAATCAATTATGATCAGTTGTAATCTTTAAGATCTCTTTCATTATTATTTTTCATATATTATCTCCACCACTTATAAAGGTTGTATGTACTATTTCATAAAGTCAAAATTATTAATAATATAGTCCTTTCGGCCTTTCTCCCGTCAATGTAGGCCATCATAATCGAATCATGTTTTTTTTTTTTTTTTATGGCCCTATATTCTTAGTTTTCTGTTACTTATTTTCATTCAAAGAATCATTCTTATTTAAAGCTTAACAAGGACAACAAAAATCATCCCAAAACTTTTGGAGACAATTTTTCACTTATGGGATGATTTTGATCGTCCCCAATTCCTCTAACTTTTGTAATGGAAGGTAGGCAAGAAATTAAAATTATATGTTTCGTGGATGTTATCTTAAAAAATTAGATTAGAGAATGCAAGTTAGAACTCAGGATTTAGATTTGTTGGATCAGCTTTCTTGGATCTCAAGTGCATTTAGATTCTTTGAAGGGCAAAAATCAAAAATAGTTTTTTAGTACAAATGCTCTTAGGTTTGTTGAGAAAAATTCTGGATACAAGCTTAGCAGCCAAACCTTGATCAAACGATCCAAGGGTTCTCACCTCTGATTACTACAGTAGAGATGGTGAATTACAGGTTTGAATGTTGAAACCACAAGAACTAATTACTAAACTAAAGCTAATTAAGAAAACTAAGAAAAGCTTGAAAACGTATGTTTGATCCCTGGTATCTGAAACCCTTCTTCTGTTTATGGTAGCTAGGTTTAAAGCTTCCCAAATCATTTTACATGTAACATCAGACCTGCAAAAGAGACACAAAAAGAAGAAATTAAGATGCTAACTACCTTTTAGATTCCACTAAGGACGTCAGCTTTATCGTTTGAGTTTCTCAAGCTTGAATTTTCTTAATGTTAGAATGATTTTCAATATAAGTATATTGATTAAGTTATGAATTTTAAAGAAAAACTTGTTCAAGTTATAAATAAATAGCTTAAAGGAAGCTCCATGAATGTAAGATTTGATTCTAAACACAAAGGAAAAAATAAGTGAAGACTTCATGTGGGTGGAATGAATTGCCCCATACAAGGAGTCGACAGTCCATGTTTTTGAGAAAGAAAAGAAAGCTTTTGTAAAGAAAATAAACTTGGAAATCGGATTCCTTACATAAAGCAATCCACTGCCCTAACAAGAAAGAGCTTCTATTATAAATATAACATTAAGACAGTTGGATGTTTGAATGTTGGATTCGATTGCCCTAATTCGAAAAAGTACATATTTTAAAGAATAAAAAGTATTTTCTCCAGCAATGAAATGTATTTATTTATAAAATAATTTTTTATTAATAAAAGATGAATAATTTTATTTTTAATTATTCATAAAGATGCATTTTTAATCAAATAATGTGTTAATTAATTGAAACAATTTAATTAAAGTGTCAAAACCTTTAAATTCAATTTCTATTAACCTTAACAAAAATGACGATTAATATACGTTTTGAAATCATTTTCTTTCTCCATCTTTAAATAAAAACACAAAACTTGGAAAAAAAAAACTATAACCGATGCTCAAGTAAAAAAAAGTTCTTCTTCAACAAAAAGATCTTTGGATTAGGAAGCTATATTTCTAGCTCGTACTCGCTTTTAGTTAGCCGAGAGTTGTAGCTCAGTCTAGCCTTACTTGTTATTTCCCTTTCTTTTGAAATGAAGTTTGTGGTGTGGATTTATCGATTATTATGTTTCAAATTAATTGTACTAGGATAGATATTGACATTTGCTTACATTTGAAGCTATTTATTTAAAATAAATACGCACTCAAATTCAAGTATTCAATGTTGTTTTATTAGGTGCCAGTGCCACCGTTACGTAGGAAAAAAAATTTTATTAAAAATTATTAAATAAAATTAAAATCAAAAATATAAATTAAAAAATCTTTTTATATAAATTAAATATATAAATTTTGATATATATTTTTAGATAAATATTTTTAATAAAAATATTAATAAAATTTTTACTTTCATATAAATATCAATCAAATTTAAATTATAAATAATTTTTTATATATTATTAATTTTCACATTAAATTTTATTAATTTATCAATTTAAATTTTTTTAATTATTTAAAAAAAAAAAAAAAAAAAAACTTAACGAATTTCACGTAAAAAAATTTCATATAAATTTTATCTGGTATGGTTTACTACGAATAAATATCTCATTCCTATATTATCTAACACGAATCATTAACACTTTTAAAATAAAAACAAAAATAATACACTTATGTGATATATAGAAAATTAAATAAGGTTACATCAACTATAAGCAAACTGATATCTTAATATAAAAAATGCCACAAAGGTACTCTTATTTAATTGGATTTAGAGGACATGAGACTTTATAGCTAACCACTATGGATGTAATTAATCACACTTTGTACCCTAAAAAAATTTTGATGATTTTGCAACCACTCCTATCGCCAATGATTTGGTTTGGATCATTTATTCCAAATAATCTAAACTTCTAGGCAAAAATAATAGACAGGTGATCAACTCTAGTATTATATTTTGAGCTAGCTATGCATTAAACATTTTTTTTAATGAAAATTGTCTAGCTAATTTGATTTTTGAAGATTGTGGCCAAATAAATTTTGCTTTTTAAAGTTCAATGACGTTATGCTAGGTTCTGTTTGATTAAGGAATTAGGGAAAAATATGACAGTTTAAAATTAAAATTTTCTCTTTTATTTATTTATTTATGATTAAGTTTTTATTTTAAAAAATTTACCATTTTTTTTATTACTTACAGGTGTCAAAAATTAAATCTTAATCATTGAAATTAAAAATTTAACATTTTATTAACAGATAAAATGACTGTTGACAAAAATAAATTTGTTTTATGTAGGGTTGCTTGTATATAACTTGAAATTTTCATCAAAAATAGGTAGTCTCCCGGCCTTATATTAGAAAATAAAGTTTATACACGTAAGCTTATATACCTTTGATGGAATTTTTCATGATTAAATGATGGATTCTTTTTACATATTTTTAAAAAGTAATTAATTAAGGATGCAATTAAATTCTGACCCTTTTTTTTTTTTTAACCTTGCAAGTGAAAATTAAATAAAACTTTATTAAGAATTCGTGCACTACAAATCCAATTTACGATCATAAATTAGAATTCTAGAATGATACCCTGAAACTTGAATTTCTAAAACCAGAAAAACCAAAGTGAAGAAACCGAATCAAGTTTTATATTTTTTTTCTACTGTTTTTACCTTAAAATTATTTTCCGACAGAAATTAATTCAATACTCATTAATTAAATAAATTAAATCGATTTGATTGATTAAAACTGAATTATGAGCACTTTAAAACCCAGTTTCATATTTTTCTGCTGTTTCTATCTAAAGCGCCCAAACACAGCCTGCAAATTATCATTGGGAACCTCCCATTTCCCCCAACAAATTACCAAACCAGCTACCATTCAGTCAAACCCACATCAGACGCCACCCACGTCCAGCACCCGTGACCCAACTCGCATGTGTTCCAGCCTGGCCCGAACCATTTGATCGAGATTCCACCACCTCCAGATTTGGACTCTTTTTGACGCAATTGTGTGATTCACCTTTTAGTTATTATTTGTTAATTGTATTTTGCAAATTATATGCATGTTTATATTCTATTTTTAGATATGCATATGTTCATGATCATTATAAAAATTACTAATAGCCACAAAATTGGTTTTGCTCATACAATAGGCATATATCACGACCCTAAAGTGAAGTTAAAAATCTTACATCGATTGAGTATTAAAATTAATCTTGAGATATAAAGGTTTATACCTCTTTCTTATTGTGAGGTACTTTTTGTAAGATAAAATCGTGAGATCAAAACGGATAATACCTCACAAAAGTGTGAATCATGACAGATAAATTGATCTGAAACGTCAGATAAATATATGTTCGAATCTTGGAGTCACCCAGATTTGAAAGTTGAGTCTCAGTCCGTGACAAATGGCATCAAAATCAACTCTATGAGGTACTAGAGATGTGCCACCAAAGACGGTGAACCCTCGTTGAAATAAGGGAGGATGTTACGATCCTAAAATGAAGTTAAGAATCCTACATCGATTAAGTACAAGAGTTGATCTTGAAATATAAAAGTTCACATCGCTTCCTCTTTGTGAAACACCTTTTGTAAGACAAAATCATAAGACCAAAAAGATCAAAACGAATAATATCTCACAAGAGTATAAACCGTTACCATTAAGCTGATATAAGAAACCGAATGAGTTTATGTTCGAATCTTGGAGCCACACAAATCTAGAGGTTAAGTTTCAACCACTAACACATACACTTAGCAAAAGCAGATCATACAAACTATTTTAAAGGCAAAAAAACCAAACAAGCAATGACCTGAAATATGCAATAGGTCAATTAAATGGTTTGGTAAAACAATTTCATGGTAATTTATAGCTTTTAATTTTTCATTGTGTTAACAACTACAGCATTATGCATCCTTTGAAAAAGCTACAGCATCATGCAAGATTAAAAAGAATCAAGTACAGGGGAAAAACTAGAAGAATCATACGTTCAGGTACAATGACATCGCAAAGGAATTGATATATTCGCTGGTTTTCTTTTCTCTCGAACAATGGCTTCCTTAATCGCTGGCAATTTTTGATGAACCTTTCTCCAGATGTGATTTACAGCACCATCAGGAGGAATTGGCCCGATACCACCTGGATGGCCTGTATCACACACAAAAACAGGCTGCACCTTAGCCATATTTTGACGAAGTTCATCCCTATGTTTTTCAGAAAAGCCTCTAAGATAAGAAACAAGCCAATTTGGTCTCAATGCATCGCTGACTGCCACAAATACTGAAAATGTGGAGTAATCCACCATCCCTTCAAAGGGGAGCTCAATATTGTCACTGACAATCACGGGTATACAAAGACTTTGGATGGCATCAAAAAGTCGGCATGAAGTAGGAGTATCACCAGCTGGGTGCAAGCAGAACTCTGATGATCTCATCCCCTTAATTGACTGCTCTTTTCCAGTGGCATTAGGGAACCCTTCTTCCATAATAACTCCTGGTTCATTAACCAACAAGTCCCATAATTTTTCCCGAACTAGGCCACCCTGAGAATTTTAATAACATAAGCAACACAGTCAAGCAGAGAAAAGACATGAAGATTTCAGTAAGAGCTGTGATAAAGCCCAGCCTGAACTTTCTCAACAACTCAGCAAAGGAAGCTAACAGTTGAACTGTATCCATTCAAGAGGGAAAGCAATATTATTTTCCTTCATTATACAGTCATACGTATAAACAACAGTCAAGTAAACCAATTTTAATTTATAGGATGATAGGCTGGGAAACCACAGTGCAGCTAGATCCAATGTTGTTAGATGCTAACCCGGTGCCTGTGTTTAGCTCCCTTAAAATAAAGGAGGGTGTGTCGTTTCTGGTTTTCTGATAACCGCAACCTAGGAAGGAGATGGGAATATGGAACAATCACATCTTTAAGCAACGAAACTTGGGTGTGATATATCATGTCTGGTGAGTTACCATTGGGCGATTTTGTATCAAGCCTATACCACCCACCAAAATCCACAACCAGTATGACAGCCGGGGCTATCTCCGCTCTGAAATGCCACATTGCAACTGGGTCTGTCAAAGAATGCTTCAAGGTTTAACATAACCTGACAATCGAGAGACTAAATCATAAGCTTTAAAGCAAGCAGCATAATTTCCCACTTTTTCCCTTTTTCATTTCTTTTTTTTTTTTATTTTGGCACTGATGGTAAAATATCAATAAATCAAAAAATTCTTAAATGAACAGCTAATATCAAGGGCATGGCATGTTTAAGTATAAACGACCCTAAAAGAGACAATAGTTTTCACAGTAAAGAGTCAACAACGATACAGTAATTAGATGAATAGGAAGAATCCATAATAAAGGAAAAAAAGAAAAGAAATATAGGAAGAAAAAAAGATTAAAAGAAGTGATTACACAATTAAACCATAAAAGACAAGGGAAAGTAGAATGGTACATAACCAACAAGCTCCAAGACAATAAACAGTGCAAAAACTGTAAGAATTCAAAAGTGACAAAATAGCTCCCCTGAATCAATTTCTCTCATTCCTTCTTACATTGTTACCGAGGAGAAGGGATTAAGTCCAAATTAAAAGTGCATAAGAGTAGTTCACAGATTTCAACCAATATATACCTAAAACTAATTCTTCAGAACTTAGAGCTAGCTAAATAAATTTCACAATGCCAGATCCTAGTGCAATAGGCCACACCTTTCTGAACAAGCTGAATGACACAACTATTTCCCTCTTCTGGCTATGTAGTTTATCTCTATCTCTCTTTTGTGACAAATTTTGGGCTAGGCTACAAGCTCACTTTGCCCAACACTAGCTCCTGTGTCATCACAAGACTTAATTACCAAGTGGCAAATGACAAATTGACTAGCACGCTATCCTCTAGCCCACAATCTAACCTTCATCAAGGAACTTTCCATACAATAATAGAATTCATCTATCAAACACAGCATTTTAGGCAATGATTCTCCCTGAAAATTGTACAGCAACAATAAGCAAATGGATTTAAAAATCAAAATCAAAATCAAAATTACCGGTGAGAACAAAAACGTGATCCCGTCCTCCAGACCGTTTCCAAGCATCAGTATTCCTCACAAAATCCATCACTTCCTTTTGCCTCAAGTAATCTGCATTCCCAGATTTCTTCTTAAACGCACCGCTTCCCGATCCCAACTCCATCTCAGCACTCAGAGTAGCAAAAAAAGGAACAAAAACAACATCAGCCTCATTAACATCAAAAACCCTTTTAGCAAAAGATCCACTTCTCATTTCTTGAGGGGTTTCCAAGTCACCCATGATCCAGTACTCCGCACTGTATTGCTTGATCAACGGATTATCAGGATAAGGAGGGTATTTCGTGGATTTGGAGGAATGGGTAGTCGAGATCTGATGGTCAGGGTCTGTGGGGATGCGAGAATCAGGGTGATTGGAAGCCCAGTATTGTTCAAGCAAGCCATAGTTGAGGGCTCTGGGAAGGTTGGCAACGTAGACTTTGATGGAGTTTTGGAGGGAAAGAAGGGTATTTTGGGAAAGAGAATTCGTTGGTTGACTAGTGTGGGAAGTGAAGATGATGAAAAGAGAAAGGGTGAGAAGGGAGAGGAGAGTGAATGTGAGAAACAGAGATTTTGTTTTACTTCTTGTTGTTGTGCTGCTCTTCATTGCCATTTCTGCTTTTGCTTTGCTCTTTAGTTTCTTTCTATCTTCTGCCTGACTCATGTTGAGCATGGAGATTTGGCAGCGAAATGATTAACCTTTTATTTTTGGGGTAGTGACCAGGGAGGGCGAAGCCTACATAGGGGACCAGTGTGAGGATTACCCTAAGAATTTGGGACAAAATATTTTGTCAAACAAAACATGGCCTAATCGTTGCTGCCAGCCTCATTATATTATCCACTTTGATCTCGTTAAAAAATTTCATCTCATAAAAAACACCTCTCAAACTAAAAGTGGCGTGAATATTTATTTTTTAAAATTAATTTTAATATTCAACTGAGGTAAGATTTATAATTCCTCTAAAACCATGACACTCAACTTGAGCAGCAATTGAGAATACCTCTTGTAAATTTTCTCAGCTTTCTTTTAAAGTTTTGCACATAATATGAAATTTAAATTTCAACCAAACTATACATGTGATCATCATCATCATCCGAAAAATGAAAACCAGCCGGTCTCAACTCTTGTCAGATTTGTAAAATATAGACAGATGTTTTCCCACGCCACGAGGGGTTAATCAAGTGGACTGCCCCATTTGGCACAAAGGGACATAAAAGATTGTCTATGCTGTAAAATGAGGGCTGACCTGAGGCATACTTGCTCGGTTCCACCCTCTCTAATCTAACCCAAATGTGTAGTGGGATGATGTGATGAGGAGGCCATAAAGATTGTAAGCCATGCTTTACCAAGACCTAAACAAATAATAGCAGAAGAGAGAAAGAGGAAGAAAATGTGATATGTTTTTAACATTCAATCATTTTTTTCTCAGATTGTTACATATGCCAGACAAGTTCAGTTGCAGCCATAGCAAACTAATATAAAATAAACAGTAGCAAAATAAAGGCCTAACGCTATCCCAATACTACCCCAAATTAAACAAGCTAGCGCTCCATTAAAACCTCGTCAAAATTCCAGTCTCTCACAAGATCCCTCCTCACAGCATGACTACGCACCAGCCGTGGGGGACCTGCCATTCCAATGGTGTTTTGAGAATTTGGTTGTGGGGTGACTTTGGATGTTGATGTTATAGTTGCTCTCGCAGCTGGCAGATATGATTTCCGGGCCAAGCAGTTAGCAATGGCTGAACATCTTCCCTCGTTGTCTGAACTTGAAACAGAGTAACTCCTAAAAGAGTGACGGACTTTCTACACTATGGCACACCAGACATGCAAGACTCGTGTTATGGTTTTGGAGACCCTCAAACCAGAGATTGCCTTTCTATCCTGCAATAGTAGAACAAAATATATGACGATAAAATATGTGTTCCATAAATTAAAATATTGTTGAAAAGAAAAAGCTACTAACAAGTTATACGAACAAAAAGGAAACACAACTCTTAAATTTAAAGAAAAAATTCACACAATTGCAGCAGCAGAAAGAATAACTTTGAATAGGAAGACTAAAGAAGCTACTAGTCCATTGTCTTATCATTTAAAGTGCATGTATAGCATCTATAACAAGCAAAACTAAATTAATCAAAGTCAAGCCTGACTGTCATTCTATGTTAACAATCATCAGGGAGAATCAATCATTGATTTTTAACCCAGTTGTCAGAATTTCTATCAAGTTGGTAGTGCACTTCCATGCTTTTCCATTACCATTTTACCTTTAGAAGTGTTTTGCAGATGGAATGCAAAAGATTAAAAAAAAAAAAAAAACTAAGTTGAGCCCAACATCGAGACTCTTAATCTTGATTAACCAGAAAGTGCCCACATGAAAAATAGTTGTAAATCATTTCAAGGGCATTCTGCATTCTAAAGTCAATGCTGGGTAGAAAGGCTTTATTTAAAGTTACAGACAAGGGAAGAATGTGGCTTGCTAGACCTGATCTGCAAGGAAAAAAGGATAAATCTCTAAGCCTGGATATGACTGGGGTATGTTTTAAGTTTAAATATTAGCATCTAGCAATAATAAAATAGAAAAAGAAACAGTTGTCCCATAGAGAATGCTTGTCCACTTATCAAAGCCTATGGTACATTAATTGAATGAAAGCAAAATGCAAAAACCTTATCACCTTACGCCTTGATAACATTCCTGCAATTTTTATCAACATTATCCAACTTCCAAATAGCAAGCTAAACCAGTGAACCATTCTTCGTTTTTGAAATTCTGGACAAACCAGAACATTTCTCAGTTCACCAACGGTGATTTGACTACTTATTAAGCTAGCTCTTTCCTGAATATAAAGCTAGAATAAGCCCCCGTCTGCTATACCACCATCCCTTTCTTTTCACTTTCTCTTCAACTGGCTATTGGCAAATTTTAAACTTTAACTTTGATGAATCACAACTCTGAAGACAACAAAATAGAAGAATCTACAAAAAGGCTTTCCATTAAAAAAACTCAAAATGCTTCAGAAGCACCTCGCCTAGCATCATCAAATTTGTCAGGACAATCAACAGGAAGACCCTATCTCCTAATTTTTGTACTTATGCATGTGTGTCAGTCCACCATCATCATTATATCTTCTACTTTCCTAATTTCCCTTTCCTTTCTAGATATTTCGTATGTTGCCCATACATAACTGGGCATGCAAAATGCTAGAAAGCATCTAAATCTGCATCATTCTCTGTGAAAAAAGACTAAAGCATCAAACTCACAGATGAATGCAACAAATGTACATACCTAAAGATGTTCTGGTGAGGGGACAAATATACATACTCTGTCTTTATGTAAATGACTACAATCGAAGATATCCCCATGTCCCAGCCAACATCAAAAAGACCAAGGCTAAGCATACTTTCTTAGCAGGTCTTTCCACCAAAATTGTAATGCGTACAAGAAACCATACATGCTATAAATCAAACTTGTTTTCTTAGTTTCAAGAATGACAGTCTTTGGGTTGACCAAAAAACTAGGAAAACTTTTTTGTCGTTCATATCTCCATATACACACTTGATATAAATTATATTAATAATGAAAGGATCTATTCAACTGATTCTTAAAAGGAAATAGAACTGACTCTGATCATCCTGGAATCACAAGCGTGCTGAATGTATGAATGGAGAGGAATATGTTTAGTTCTGCACCATGATTTTCCAACAAACCCTACGCATAACCTGTGGCCCAACAACCTCGCTAGCCTTGCAGCATTGATACTACACTATCCCTTGTAAGTTATGCTTTTTCTTTCAAAAAGCTTATGATCAAATCTGAAGCAAAATTTATAGCAAAACACAAAACTGCAATTTCTGTATGATATGCTAAATTGCCAAATAACAACAAGACAAAAGATTAGCAAGAACAGTCGTTTACATTCATTATTAAAACCAAATATCACCAGACTATGCTTAATTTGCCTCGTGATCCAAGATAGGACTAATTCATTTCTTTAAAAGAGAATCTGAAATACAGGTATTGTTCAACATGCAAATCACATATCCAACATTCCACAAACGACCCAAAATCATTAAAAAAAAAAAAAAAGACGTATCAAACCAATTCAATTACCTCCCTGCCTTTTGTTTCACTTCTACAGTAATAAAAAAGAGATAAAAGTCGAAACCCATCTTAAAAGCCTTCCTTTTTGGGGTTCCCATGAACAGAAAAACACAAGGAAACCAAAACCAAGAATTCGAAAAATACATGAAGCTATACATAAACAAAACCCCACATAACAAAATAAAGTAAAACACGATAGTAAAGAGAAAAAAAAAAAGCAGAAGCTGAGATCTGAGGACCTCACCTGGAAAGCTTTGTTTCAGTTTTGGTAAGTTTGGGGCTTAACGAGAGTCGTTGTAGTCAACTTATTTTCCTTGGTTGGTTCTTTTGCTGACTCCTGGAAGACTTAACAGAAGCATCCGTGTAAGTGGGTCAACTAAACATTTAAGTATACAAGTCAGGGAGAGAGGGACATCCAGCTTGTTTCGGTTAGAACGTGGACAAGGAGAGCCCAAGGAACATAGCTGCCAATTTGTTACTGTTGAAAAACCAATGTTTCTCCATGTACCGTAAATTTTTATACTATTATTATATTATTATTTTGTTTATTCTACCTCCGTTCACCTCGAAAATTGGTACCCCTATGTTTCATGTTCTTGTGTTACGGGTCGATTTCGAGTTCTGCGCGATTTCGAAATTCAGGCATAAAATTTATATTTTTTTGAAATATTATATATTTTGATTTTTTTTATTTCACGATAAAAGGTATTTTATAAAGAAAAAATAATGTGAAACTTTTTATATTTTAATGATTTTTTTATTATATTTAATATAAGATTCAAGATTTTTTTTTAGATTCGTGATTTTTTTTTATCCAATCTCGTGATGTTCTCGTCACGAAGACTGATCATTCTGTCTAATTTTTTCGATGTGCTTAACGTGGATCGAACGGTATAGGGCTAGTTTTGATATCACTTGTCACGGACCGAAAATTAAACTTCGAACTCACGCGGCTCCAAGATTCAGGTATCCACTCATTCGATGTCTCAGATCAATTTAACCATCAAAATTTATATATTTGTGAGGTATTATCCGCTCTAACCTCTTGATCTCACTATTTTATCCTATAAAACATAATTCACAAAAAAAAAATGATATAAACTTTTTTATACCCCAATAATATTTAATATAAAATTTAAAATTCATCTTTAAAATTTAAAATTCACTTTCTTATTTTGTTTTATTTCATCTTGTTTGATTCGGCATAAAATTGTTCCAGTAGTCATACAGGATTACGCAATCGTCAGCATCATCTAAAATCTTTCCTTTTTATCATCGCAGAGGAGTCTGTTTTTTTTGTTTTTAGTGCCACTCATTATTATCTTACATACATAAATGAGCTGATAATGACAATTTTACCGTTCATGGTCAATTTCATGGATGACTAGTGGAATAATTTCATCTATAGACTCTATGAAAAAATAAGTATTATTACAATCTATTTGTGTTTAAAGAAATCAAAATATGTTTCAAAATCTATTAGACACCTAGAAAATATGAATGCTTGGTTTCGACTGCCACTTACAAATGATAATCCGAATGATACTTTCAAAAAACAATTAGTAGTAACTACATGCAGCGGCTGTAAATCTTCACTTCAATCACTGCTTTGACTAATGGAATATATATATATATAGATAACCCAATTTTCTACCAAGTGTATATTTCTTTAGCAGACAGCGCAGACTACAAGAAAGACAAGAATTTCATTATAGCAGCAACTAAAAGCTCTGAAAGCCTATTGATAGCAGAAATTCAAAAGAACAACAAATAAATAAAAGAAAAAGGAAACAAGAAGACAAAATGCTATTAACAACAGCTGAAACTTTTCATTCATTTCACATTATCAGTCTTTCAATAACCGCAGCTCTCTACATTTCCTCACTTGACTGTACAAAATTATGAACATTAAGATGGATATGGCAGACCTATAGGAAAGAAGACCTATAGGAAAGAAACTATCCCCAGAAATTTGCTAAAAATTGCATGATTGTATATTTACACAGTGATTTTTCAACTTGCTATAAAAATGAGGGCAAATCCAAGGGGAAAAAAAAAGAGAAACAACGAATACAAGACCTAGGCAGGGAAATCATTTAGGTATGGTTGCTTTAAGGACTTGGATTGAGATAAATCATAATCTCCAATGCTGCAAAGTTCACTAGGGTCAGAGGATTCCTCTGAGCACCAATGATCTGGGACGCTCAAAAAGTAAGTTGACATGAACTTTCTGAATCTTTTCTTATACTCCTTAGGAGAAATAACAGTTGGCAACACATTCTTAGGAACAACCAATGAAGACTTAACCCACGTCTCAAGTTGTTTGTCCCAAGTATACTGCCTGAGGTAATCGATAATCCCACATACAAGCTCCCGCCGCTGGGTATCCACCCCAACAAGTAAAGAATAATCCATTACATTGATTGACTGCAAATAGAAATAGAAGAATTGAATTGTCAGTCAATACCTTATCCCAAATTAGATCAGTGTAAGCTAAAAGGGTAAAAAAAAAAAAACTAAAAGCTCACATTGAGGAAAGTTGTATCATTCCATACAGCCCGTTGCAAGATACGCTTTGCTTTATTACTAACATATAATGGAGAGGAATTCATATCATTGACGAAGTTCTGATCCAAAAGAACATCTCCAGAACCATCAGCCCCTGAACTGAATCGAGCATGTAAGGCCCCTTTAAGATCATATTGGCGAGTAATATTTCTACCAAAGGTAAGATTCTCCATCACCTTAAGATCATGTCTTGACTCTTTCCCAGTTTTTGGCTGTCTTACTATAACCTGCAAAATGTTCAAATTGTCAAGAAAAAGAGCAAAGAATAAAGCAATCAGATGTAAAAATAAACAAAAGCAAACCTGATAAATTCCAAGAACTTTAGCAAGGCAAGTTTGGCTTCCAGTCTCAAATGATTGATTCATGTACTTGAAGTAATGTAAAGCAAACTTCTCAAATGAATCATACTCTGTCTTCTTAATTTCCTTTATAATAAACCTGTCATCAAGTGTTTTAGCGAAAAAGGACTTGCTCTTCCCTCCTTTGGCATCCCATTTTCTGCAACGGCTAAGGGATGCAATATAATCAAGCTCTGAAGGGCAGCACCGCTCCCGAAGATCACGGAACTGGTTAGCATATAAAGATACTACTGAGTATTTACCCTTCCCTAGTGATTTGGAAAGCCCTAGAGAAACCTCTATATTAAGAGAATCAGGAGGAACTCGAGAATCCAACAAGTTTAATCCATCAAAACTGGAGAACCGTGACTCTTCTGAAGAAATGCTCAGACTAGAGACAGAGTCGGAATCAGATGAACCACTAGAAGACCAATGCACGGATGCTATCATTGGAACTCGAGTCAGGCTGTGTAAACTTTCAATTAGTCTATCTCTCTTCCCATCCTCATTGGACACTTCTGTAACAGAGGGCAGATCTTTCAGCAACACTAAGGCACAAGCAATTATACTTGAGAGTTCACCCTCATAGTCAGACACTATATAATCATTAGTTCCTAGGGGTATGTGTAGCCTTGACCCTTCCTCCCTGATTAATTGATAGCCTGTGGGTATTTGTGCTGGAGTACAACTACTGAAGGATTCGAACTTCGGGACATTTCCTCGTAGAAGATCCTTCATATACATCTGTCTGATTTCAGAAAAAGGCATCCAGAACCATCCATTTAGGTTTTCTAAGCTGGATAGTAATGAACGTGGAGATCCACCCCTCCTAGATCCATTTGAATCAACTATAGAGTCATTGAAGGCAAGATCTGTAGAAATTGGGATTGTTCTATCCACTTGTAAATGATCTGAGAGAGATGCATCCTCTGCTTGATAATTCTTCTCATCAAAATGAGGACGAACAGAGATATGAGGCGTCACAACAAACTCTAGGTTGGAAGATTTCACAGGGCATACACCATCCACTTTTGGCTTTTCAATATTCTCAGCCACAGCGGAATTGCCATGTATGCTGTCACATCCTTCAGATTTTTGAACAGGAATATTTGAAGAGAATTCATCACCTGAAAATTCTTTTCTTTCAACAAATGAACTTGTCCCGGCTTTCAGTTTACCACTATTATCAGAACCCTTGTCACCATTTCCATATTTAGTTTCTGTTCCACTGTCTTCTCCATCAGCACTACCCATATCCGATATCAATTGCTCCAGAACTGCTTTGTTACTGGCACCAGCAATGACTACTGTAGGATCAGGCAACAGGAGAGAATGCAGGCGTCGATCCCAAATGCATGATTCCAGAAGAAGGTCCCACCTTAGTTGGTTCAAAATGAGGAGTTCGTGAAAACCCATGTTTGCATTTCCATTCTTTGCAACAGCATTCTGAATGTTTACCTGCAATTTTTTGCCATAGAGAAATCAATTCCAGAATATGGCTAAAAAAATCAGTATAATCAAGTTTCACTTGGGATAACAATTTATTGTAACACAGAAACAAGCAAAAGAACGCACTCATAATGAATACGACAATATTTCACAAAGTATTGAAAAGGAAAATACTTGCTTGTAGGTGGTAGATGAATAAAAAGTAAAATCAAGAGCACCCAACAACATATCAGAAAGAAGAGAAAACCAACCTCAAATTCAGAAGCTTCCTGTTTCAACATCTCTTCAACATCAAAGAATTCTTTCAAGGAATCTCTAAGATTTAGAGTTGAGCCTACAAACTGAGACCTTATCTGCACCAAAAAGCTTGCAACCTCTCTGAACATTAGCATCCCTTTTTTATGAACCTAAACAAAATATCAACACCAATTCAAATATGTTAAGATGAGTGCATGTTGGTGGAGGCAAGAGAAATATATGTTTCATCACAGAATAAACACTATATCAGAAGTCAAAGCACAGTGAAAACAGAGTATACACGTACATTTTCAAATTCTTCCTTCAGCCAATCCTGTCTAATTGACTTGCTAAACTCCAGCTGTTGTGTAGGCACGGACACAGTATAAGTGGTAACTGAAGAGTAACTAAACATTGCAACCATAGGGCCTAACCTGCAGTTACAAGAACATAACAAAAAATGTAAGGAAAACAGAATTCAAGCGCAGTTCTTTGCAGAGTTTCTAATTTTTTTAAAAGAAAAAAGGTGGAACAAAAAGCAAGCATAAGTTAATTATTATCACATGGCTCCATAGGAAGAGTTTGCATTTTGCCAAAAATTGCAAAATGTTCTGCATTCCAAGGCTTCCACGGAAAAGCCTATAATAGAACTTAACATTGAACAAGTCCCAATGCATAAGAACAGTATAAACCTCCCCAACTTCTAACCAGAAAGTATAATCACAAGCATTTAAAAATCACAAGCTATCACTACAAAACATCAAAGCCCAAGTCTCAAACAAAAAGGAAAATATTTCCCATTTCACAAATACATTTGGAAGTACGATGGGTTTATTGTCAAATGAAAATAGAAACAGTAATACATACCCAAAGAAATATAGGAAGTCCCTATGATGAGAATGCCCACAGCTGGATGATCTGCTGGATGACGAGCAGTCAGAAAAGCTGAGCTCCAAGAACTTTCCAAATGAGAGACTATGAGCAGCAGTTGATATTAGCACTCTTTTTGTTGATTTTGAAATTCCATTCCCAGTTTTGCACTTGCTACAGCGACTCCACATCCAGAGTTTTCCCTCTGCTTTCCCTGGTAAATGCTTAGGAAGTCGTTTAACTTGTATTGTTAGCTGCTTATTATGATGTGCATAATAATAGAAGTGAGCTTCTGGTAGTTCACCACATATAGCACACCGGCTTTTCTGCACAAAGCAGAAGTTTCTATCAGTGAAAAACTCAACGGTGCCACACATTGAGAAAAAATTAGGTCTTCAAATGCAGTATACTGCATTATAGAATTGAAGGTTACCTAAGTTTGTAGGGAGACTAAAGGTAAACTATACAACCAAAGAAGTCACCAAAACACAATTTAGTAACATGACAAGATAAAGATCGTAAACCAAAGTTGACAAAACACAATTTAGTAACATGACAAGATAAAGATCATATCTCCAATAGCTTAGAGCAGTGGGCAATCTAATCAAACTTGACTCATAAAAAATCACATACTTAAGAAAACTGCACAAGGAAAGTCCTACTAGAAGGAGATTCCAGAGACCTGATTGAGTAAATTATCCTGAAGGAACTTTCCAAGAGGAACATCAAAATTCTTGTAGAACATTATATGGCTAAAATGGCTTTGCTCACATATAGTCCCCCTTGAAGAATTTCGGCTAGACATGAGAACCAAAATACTTTGTGAATCCAACATTGTGTTGATGTCCTCCTTTTTTTGCATTTTTTCTTCATTATGATTACCATTAACTTTCAAGTTAAGTGGGACTTCAATGGAAACCAAAAAAGATTGGGGTTGTGCATCATCAAGAGATTTCTCTTCTTCAGGACCACTTTTAGATTCCACATCAAATTGCTCTGAGACCTCGAAACTTTTCATTGTCGGAACTGCTTCTGTGAGCTTGGATTCCCTCCCATTTAACCCAAAATATGCAGACAACAAGCGATAAGGAGCAGTGGATGCAAGAGGGAAATTGTTTCCTATAACTTTCTTCAGAGAGGCAGAGATAGATGACAACCCAGAGAAAATAGCTGGATTATATGGCTCCAAAGAAAATGCTGAACTGTAATCTAATCCTGACTCCGCAATTTGATCACCATTTATTTCCCCATTTATGTGGTAACCTTCTTCTTGGAACCCAGTGGAAATGGGAATGTCAATTTCATGTGATCCAGTTTCAGCAGTAGACTCATCCAGACAAGGAACACTCACATTACCAATTTCTAAGGCATGGGATTCCCGATCTATTGGCAACATATCTGCTATTCCAGTGAAAGGAATTGTAGAGAACATTGTCTTCTGATCAATAAGGAAAGAAGTTTCAAGGATTAAATGATATGCTATGACAACAGCATACTGCACAACACACTTAATCTTTTTGAGTTCTTCAGAATGACTTCCTTTCAGCAAAATCTGCAACATCACAATATCAAATTAACAAGTAGATACACAGGAATATGCCATAGACATCTTACAAGAAAAGAAATAAGGGAGGAGGGAGCCTGTTATCAGGCAGATAGCATCTGGTCAAACATCTTAAGTCCAGAAACCAAACACGAGTTGTTTTAGAGAAACAAGAGGAATAAAAATGGATGATGCAAAAGAAACTCAAGCAGAAGAAACCCAAGCCTCAAAAGTCTAACAAACCCCAAAGAAGGAAAGACTACCCCAGAACTACACTCTGCATAAACAACTACAAATTGGAAAAGTGTAAATTAACTAATGGCTTTGAGTAAGAGGAGAAACATTTGCTTAATACAGGAAGACCCTATTCTATAGAGTAGAATATTTCTAGGGAAAGCAATAAAGACAATAGCAAGCTGCTTTTCTTAGACATTTCAACATAAGAGGCTCAAGTTTTAAGATATTATTGTATTTCAAACTTACAACATACAACAAATTAGCCATATATAAGAGACTAAGAGATAATAAATGTAATTATTTAATTTAATATGTATTACACTTGAATTTTTTTTGGTTAATGAGGTTTAAAGTTCAAGGCCTAATCCAACATCATTAATCTTGTAACAACAGGTAAAAATAATAGCAGAAGACCATTTGATACCTTCCTATTGAGAAGTTTTAGGACAAGAAATAGGAGACAAGATGTCAAAGGAATGAATCTTTTGATTAGAACTTATTTATATTTTTCCATATATCCACTACTCAGACCATATTACCAGAGCCAACATTCAATATCTAACTCTATCTTGCATCCCTCACACAAGTGCGTGTATGCAAGAACATGCCAGTGCATCCTGACTACTTAGGAAAAAAAAATTTTTTGTTTTTTAAAAGAAAGAAAGAAGAAGAATAAGAAGAAGTCATCAACTTACAGTGCAACCAAGACGTTTAGGACAGCCCTCAAGGAACATCAATGTTTTACTTGGCCGTTTTCCCCCTTCACCAAAGCAAGCATGTTCCTCAGCAAACTTTTCTATATGAAAGGAGTCACACTGCTTAAAGGAGTCATTCAGCTTTAGCTTTTGATTCATCAAAGTATCAGATGGTATGATTGGTAAGCCAGTACAACGTGCAACTCTCTCTAGACGATGTAGCTTCATGTCAAACACCAGTGTGATTCCTTTGGCAAGGATAAACTCTTGAACACCACGTGAAACAGTTTTCTCCACCAATATCACATTTGGATGGTACATGTCTATCATCTCACTTAGAGATTTCAGATGAACTTTTTCCTGTTTTTATGGATCAACAATCAGAAACATAGAGTAGTATACTTCAGCATTACAGAAACAGAGTTCATTTTTGCCAAGTTACCTCATCTAGTGAACTGAATGAAGACAACCCACTAGAGGACTGACCAAGGACTCCCTGAATTAACAACAGCCTTGGATTTTTGTACTTAGTTTGCATGTGCTTATGAGCAGCATGCTTTTTGAAGACCAAGCCCTTGATTAATTGACTGCAAAACAAACTTAATTTATAGGTTGAAGAGACAAAAATCCTATAACAGCAATAACATTAATTTGCTGACTTGTAAAAAGGTGTTTTCAAATTCAGCATGCTAGATGTTGATTTCATGTGTGCTCTAATACATTCATTCAACTAAAAGGCAATTAAAATTTAAAAAAGAGGATGACATTTCACATGCTACCAATTAAAGGAAAAGCAAAGTAACCAATATTCTCTTCCTCAATTAAATTTTATGGAGATAACAGATGTTTATAAGAACTATCTGAGCTTCAGAAAAGCACATTAACACCACCGTTCAATCTTTAATAAGAAACATAAAAGGTGAAGTAAAAAACTATTTGTCTCTTCGGTGTAAAATCTAAAACTACATATTGAATAAATATCCTTAAGTAGGAGAATATACTTTAAGAAACAATACATTGAAATCATATCACCTTTGACTGTGAGAGCCAGTTGCAATGCATTTCACTTTCACATATCCATCTGGACCCATTGCTTTGCCATCAATAGCATCAGGCTTCAAAAACAGAGCGGCTTCCCAAGACAAAGAAGTAACTATATCCACCCAACTATCACCCTCATTCATAGAACAGGCAACACCCACAGATTTAAGAAGTTGACTAACAATAGCTTTGACCTTCCCATTTATCACCTCTTTCATTGCCCTTTGTTTTTCCTCTTTAAACCTGTGGCTTCCATTGCCCTCATCTTTAGTACGACTCAAGGAACTTGGCTTGCCCCATTTTGTGCCATCTCCACATTCATCATCATCATCATCATCATCATAAGCCATAGCACCCTCCAAGTCATCCTCTGGATCTTCAGGTTCTGGAGGTTCCCAAATTTGAGTATCCATTTCAACATTAATGGACTGAGAAACTCCACTTTCTTTGTTAATGGTTCTAGGAGAATTTTCAACAACATTTTCCTTTGCTTCCTGTTCATTACTAGCTTCTGTTATCTCAACATCTCTCACTATGTCCATATCGTTGGTATTTTTCTTATCCCTCAAGTTGCTTTCTGTCATCATATTCGAGCTATCAACTCTCTTCCTTGGGCTTTCTGAGCTCAGGTGCTGCAATCGGCCATTTGGTAGACAATTGAGCTCCCCATGACTATTGTTTGAACCAACATCTTGTTCACCCTCACCACTGAAAAATTAAAAAATAAATAAATACATAAATATATGTTTATATTCACACTCACACACATATATAATCACAAGACTCCAATTAATAATGAATATTATCATAACAGCACGACAATTGAAAAGAAGGGCACCTACCAATCATATGAGTTTATATCAACTGAAAAATCACCTGATGGAACAGAATAAAAAATGTAAAACATTTAGCTTAAAATTAAATGTGAATAAATTAACTAATAAAAAAGAGATAGATACTTACTGCAGCCAGAATTTGATTGATCACTGCTAGACAATGAAGTAGTTGGACTGATCATTGGTGTTGCAAACGGACTAATACCTTCCCGATTTACAAATTCTCTTCCCTGCCTCTCCCAACATAATTTACAAGACCAAACGGGGTCTCCACTACTTGAGATTAAAGCATTACTGTTCTGTTTCCTTTGGTCCTCATTGTACTTCATAAGTTTGGCACCACAGTAATGACACATGCTACACATCTGAAGAAATAATAACTCCAGAAAATTCAATTACCTATTTGGATAAGCAGGGGAGCAAAAAATAAGTTTGATATGCAAAATAATATTAACTGTTCTAGAATCACTCCCGCAAACTCCATTTAGACATTAAGATCCTCATTGAATAAACCAAACACTTTTATAAGGCACTCATAAGATTCAAATGTACTTGCAAAATTATCTCTCTAAGGGAAATTTCTTAATAAAGTCCATTTGTTTAAAACATAAGATAGCATAAAAGAAAAGCAAAATTACAATTTCAATATGATCTAAACTAACCAATATCTTTGGTGTTTTATAAATGATTTTTTCTTTAAAGCCTAACTTCCCGGTAGAGAATACATGCAAAGAAAGATCATATCAATCCATTATCCAATTCATGTAAGGAGTAGTTCTTGAAAAACTGTAGGATAGCGTATCACACTATTTACCAGCAGATAAACGTGTATACCAAATATTCTCAGTTTTTATATACTGAATTCGTTATTGATCATGCAATATACCTTAGAACGATGGTACAAGAGTAAGTAGCAATATATAAACTAAAAACTTCACCAATTCCTCTATCGGTGTTTACAAATAAATCTGCAATTCTAGATACATTTCAAAAGTATCCCAAATGAATCAGGAATTTGTAAGAGTTTCTTCTATTCGGTAGTATTTATGCTAGTAGAACATAAGGAATCCATCGTTATAGAGATCAAAAGGAACATAAATCACAGGGACAATTCCTAGAAAATCCAGAGAAAAAAAGTGCATAAAGATCAAAGATTTGTGATGATCATACACTTAACCCATGTTTAAAATCAGATTAAAAAATCCCTTTGTTATGTTAAAAAAAAAAAAAACAGATTCCATAGCCTGAATATTATTGGTGTCTCCGAAACAATCAAATCCATTAAAATAAAATAGACTAAACAGGGAACATAGTATCAGACAAACATTGTTCAATGGAAACAGTGACAACATACTGCAATTCAAAAAAAAGGGTAAAAAAATTATATTGGCATGCATACACCAGAAATCCCAAGTGAAAAGAAAATAACTTTGAATTGCAATTTCTCTAAGAAAGAAAAAAGAAGTTGGCCAACCGATCAAATAAAAGAAGCTGAATGCACCCATATGAGAGAAAAAAAAAAAAAAAAAGACTGCTTTCTAAAAAAACAGATAAAATCACAAAAGCATCAATCTTTAAATTTTTTCCAGAACAAAACAAAGTTTCCATATTTCAGCTCTGAATTAAACAGTTTAAAAAAATGTGAAATTAAACAAACTAAAGGAACCCAAAATTAAGGCATACAAATATACTTATTATACTTACTGTTGAAGCAATCCAAAGAAGAAAGATTTGTGTATGATGACCTCTAATCCAAACCCAAGCATAATGGAACCTTGTTTTCTCCTGTTTTGTTTTGGTTTCTCTACCCACAAAGCAAAGATTTATATCTCCTCCCTACAAAACGGAAGTAAAGAATACTATAGATGAGTCCACACTGTGTAGAAAGAGGGAGAGACAACTCCAATGAAAGCACTGAAGAAAAGTAAATAAAGGGCAAAAGGAAATTTGAAGAAAGGTATATAAGAGTGGGGTCCACTCTGAGTTTTTCCTCACTTTTTTTTTAATATTTTTAACTAAATTGTTTGAAATAGTCTAATTAATTACTAAGTATAATGATTTATTAAAAAAGATTAATTAATTTAATCCGGACGAGGATTTAAATTAGCAAGTGGTGATGGAATTATGTCATCCATGAAACAGTTTAGTTTTGAGCTAAATGATATGAAAAATTTATAAAAATAATATGATAAATTCTGATAAAAATATATTTAATATATTAAATAAATAATGATATATTAATTTTTATATTCAATATATATTTAACATAAATCCGATAGGCACAAAAATTAGCTTGTCTAAATGTAAGATGCATCTTGTGGCCGAGGACAATCTCATCGCCAGTAAAATTCGACCACTTGGCAACCGTATAATTGATGCTCGGAGCACCTGATTTGTTTGGATTTGTTAATGGAACACTTGTTAGCCACGTGGAAGAAAAAGGGCGTATGTGTCATTTTAACTTATTTAATTACTAGACTACCCTTGTTTCGTGGAGTGAAGGGAAACCTTGCTAGACATGACGTGGCGCTCGGTGATTGAATGGAGACTGGACAACTCTTCAAACGGCTACGTGTATTAGACGGCAAGCAATAATCGCCTACTCATCAGTATACAACAGTGATTCTTACTCACAATTTTCAAAAACCAACCGCCAAATTCCTTTTACTTTTTCAATTGACATTTTTTTTTTATAATCTTAATTATTTAATTTAAATCATCATTTGCCCCCTAAAATAAATCCAAAAATAAATAAATAAATAAATTATTCCAATAATAATATGGCACAATGTAAAATTTTGTTTTATATGCACCAGCCATGAATGTTTTAAATTTCATAAATAAAGTTAAAAAAATCAAAAATATTTTATTATATTTTTTAATATACAATAAAAGTTGTGCATCACTTTCTTAAATTTATTAATAGAATTTAAAATTTTGGTAAATAGATAAATAATTGTCATGCAATATAAATAATTGTTGAAGTAATATTATTTTAAAAAATATGTATAAAATTACAATGTGAATTTTCCTATTAATATGGGCCCTCTTCAACTTTCAAATTTGGAAAGCTTAAGAGATGGGGTTTTTTTTATTATTATTAATATTCAAAATTGTGAGATTGATTGACATTTGAAAATGTGGCTCCTCAATAAGAGAATTAGAAGAGTTAAATTTTGATACAACAAGAGCATGTATAATTCAAGTTGTGCCATGTTTACGCGGCTAGTCACATCAAAGCACCCTTGCTTGTCTTATATTTTGACCAAATTTTCAATTTATGCATAAATAAATTAAAATTAAAGAAATTATTGCCATATCCAATACTCCTTCTGTCCAATTCTTTTATCTATATTTTTTAAATGTCTTAAAAAAATTTTTAACAACTAAAATTTTTATTTTTTATTATTTTTTACTTTTTAATATTAAAAATTATAAAATTTAAATTTTATAACAATTTTTTAATTTTAATATTAAATACATTAAAGTTAATTTTTTTTTTAACTTCATGAAAACCAATATAATTCAAATATTTTGAAACAAAAAAATAATAAAAATATTGGAACGAATAATATTAAACTTTTCGCGGTTACAAATTTCATTTCACATTTACTTATTATCGTCTTGACAAAACTTTTTTCAAATGCTAGCGACTAGGAGCAAATTTGTTTTTATTTCTTTTTTATTTTATTTTTTTATAAATTATTGGTGATATTGCCTAAATAATCTTGTATTGTTGAATTAAAATCTGTTATATTTTGACAATTGAGTAACATTAAAGGTCAGAGATTGTATCTTTGAAAAGCTTAAAAGGTAAATATGATAAACTGAGGTTGACAAAGTGGCTCAAGATAATCCCTTCCTCCCTGTATTATAGGTGAGTTGAAAGTTCAAATCAATGAAAGTTACTTCGCTAAAAATCCTTTAGCATTTTAAAAATTCATTTCTTTGATAACGAAATTTAAAACATTACCAAGATTGTCACATCTCTTATAGTGTTATAATTAAGAAAAATTAATAATTTTATTTAAAAGAGTATTCAACTCATACAATTCCAATTGAAGAAAATAAATGGACAATTTATTATAAAAAGAAAATGTCTATTTTTTCAAGTTATACATATTTTTTTTCTTTTTAATTACATGTAAAAATTCATTTAGACTTGAACTGCGAAAAAAATGAAGTATCTCTCATCTGCTTTTCATAAACACCATCTCACTTCTTTAAGATTTGAACTTGAAATTTAAAAAAAAAAAAAAAAACTTTTTTAAATTTTAACCATCAAAATTGCAATATTCGATTTAAAACTATTTTTTTCTAAAATTATATTGGTAAAAACTGAGAAATTTAAACTAAGGCTTTTAGTTTTCATCCACTTGATTGAAGTCAGAAGAGATAATTATTTAAGTATATAATAGATGTAAGCGTTACCCATGCTTTGATTTGATCTATGAATTTTAAAATAAGCAAGGCCATGGCCATGACTATAGGGCAACTCGAGCGTGAGACAAATTTCGGTCCAAATATTTTTGAAGTATTATTTAGCCAAAGTGTGAAATTCCATAGTGATTAATTTTGTTTTAAGCAACATATGAATATATATGATTAATAAACAATCGAATATGGTAATTAGTTTGTTAGTTTCTATGGTTTTTGAATTTCAAGTTCAGCTATTTTGCTGCTCGCTTAAATGATATAAGACAAAAAGTCCCTCCTAAAAATTGGCCACATTCAAAGCTTTTAAATTTTTATAACACAAATGATTGTTTCAAACATTCCAGGTTTCGAATATCTTGAAATTTTGGTCACTATATATTTTTTTTAATCGAAGTTATCAAAATTTAAATTTTAATTACAAAAAATAAATTTTTAATTATTTATTAACGGATCATATAGTTATTGATTATTATTATTATTATTATTATTATACTAATTTTGGTAAAACAAATAAAATACTTATTACTTGAGTCAAAGACAAACATAACTGTTCTTTAAGAAATGATTTGATTATTTGAAAACGGCTGGAAAAAGGGGGACCAGTTTTAGAATATTCCCTGAAAAATTTTTAGTTCGACAAAGAAATAATAGTGCTATAAAGATATGTGGAGATTTTTGAGCTGATTTTTAATTCGGGTAATTCTGATGATTAATATAATAATTAAAATTTGATAATTTACCAAAATGATCCATTGGAACTATGATAAATTAATGGCTTTTTTATCATGACTAGAGAATGCTGTGGGAAGAATAGTTGTTGAGGGCGGCATGGCTGAATTTTGAGTTGAACAAGTATAAAATGAAGTGGTGCTTTGGAGAGGCACGCAATTGGCAATTTGAGAGCATCACAAATTATTAATATTTGTGGTACTTGTTTTTTCCCCCCACTTTTGTCATTTTTTATAATTTAATAAATATTTTTATAAATTTTATTTTTTAAAAATATATCAAATATATTACTAATTAAAACATAAGAATACTTTCCAAAAACTTATTGCATTGAAATACTGAAAAAATTCAAATGTACTAAAATATTGGTTGAATCTAAATGAAACCTTAGATTATCAAGTTGGGTTTTAGATAATGATGGCTCCCATTTCCATACAGAGAAGAAAAGTATGTGAATGTGACCTAATTAATTAATTAGCATCCTAGAAAACATGAAGAAGAAAAGATAATTAAACACATTTGTGATTATTTAAATGTGAGTTATCTTATCCCTTTCAAGTGCTTAATCCCACAACTTGCAATTAAAGAAATTGAAGATTGTATTTGGAAATTGGTTTAAAACATTAACATTCAAGATCAGGAAGAGTACGATGAGAAGAGATGCATGTGGATATAGACTTCTTCAAAATGAACCAAGGTTCTAGCTAGACTTGATAAAACAATTAAAGTTCGGTTAATTCGTTTAATTGATGGAATTAATTAAAATATTGGTTAAATTTTATTTATTTTTAAATAATATCATTCTGTTAATGAAAATTTTTTAATTTTTGCTTAAAAATGGAATTTTCAACTAATTAATTAATGGGACTATGGGAGTAGCAAAATAATTATTCAAGAAATGCATCTCTCTAACATTTAATAGAACATTGTTAGATAAATCAAATGAAGGTATAGAATATACTCTTTTTTAGTGTTTTTAGATTATTTCACTTTTGTCTTAAATGTAAATTTATCAATTTAAAATATGATACAAATATTATATGAAAAAGCATACGAAATTAATTAGATTTAAAATTTTAGTAATAATTATATATGTGTTTAACAAAACTAAAAAATATATTTCATATTTTTATATCGATATAAATTATAACATATAATTTTTGTATAAAATATAATATAAATATATAAAATTTCACATTTTACATTATATGAATGCATAAATTATGAGATTTACTTAAACGGAGAATAAAGACAATGACTCTTTATTACAAGTAATGCAACTTAACCATTTTGTAGTATTTTTCAGCCAATGGTCATGTAAATTTTCTATTCAAAAATTGTGAAAACTTAACAGTTGTGATTTGTGAAGTTTTAACTAAATTTGATGACATAACTACCTACTTTTTTTTTTAATAAAAAAGTACCAAAAATTATATTTTCCTTTCCAAATTTTTTCCTTGAGGCCTTCTTTCTTAAGGCGGTACAAGAGGGAGGCCTTGCAATTGATTAGAGTTTGGAATTGGGCTAGGCCTAAAAAATGGCTACGATGAACTCCTTTTGTACTGGTAGTTCAGGTTTGGGGCCAATAGGCGATCAACTAAGTCTAAGACACAATATCCAATTCTGATTTTATTTTGTTTTATTTTGATGTTTGAATTGAAAGGAGAAAATAATATTTAATTCTTTAATTCATTTAAGTAACAGATACATGTAGCTATTATTCATACATTGCAACAAAAATAAATCCTAATTTTGAGGCTTTGATTGGCTAAAGCCTTTATGTTATGGGGCATAAGAGTTTCAGAGGAGAGCCAGTGACAGTGAGTAATAAATGGAGGCTTTGCTAAGCTTGAATTTTATTGGAGAGAGAAAGGCTGAGGTGGGCCTTTTAAATGTTCCTCAAGTTAAAGACATTTCTCTGCTTTTCCATGTCATTGCAGCAACTGTTTTCAACACCAAATTAAATCACTTTATTTCTGAGTTGTGAACATCAATGGAAACCAGTTGTAGGGGAAGAAAATATTTTCATTTTTTTGATATTATTCATTGATTTGTGGTAACGGATTACCATTTTTATTTTTTTTGGGTTCAGAATGGATTACCAATTTTCAAATGTTCTAGGATATACCCATGTTTGGGAAACCTCCAAAATTGAAATCACAGAACCTATAATTATTTATTTCTTGATTCAACCTTTGTCAAGCATCCATGGAGGTGCAAATAATGGATGCCAAGAACAAAATTTATGGTAAAAAAGAAATGGAAGAAAGAAGTGGTTTAAGAGAGAAAGAGAAAGTTCACTTACTAAAACACTTGGAATTTCAGATTTACTGACAAGAAAAAGAGCTGAATGCTAATATGAACTACCAAAAACTCAGTTCTACTATATTCAAACTTTCCCCTTGTGAATTTCTTGTCACTTGGAGCAGGTCAGTTGACAAAATTAAACATGAATCCTTAATCTATCTCCGAATTTTTTCATCACTAGAGCAAATTGCATCTGCAAATGTTGTGTCAGTTGGATGGGACATGGTAGTATTTGCCTTTACACAAGCACCTATAAACAATTGGGCAGGACTCTGTCATGGAGCACTTGAAGCCTACCATCACCCTCTTGCAAGGAAAGCAGGGGCCACAAGCGTGGGAACAGTCAGGCAAGCTCGACCCTGTTGGGTATAACTCCATCCCCAGCACTTCCTTTACGTCATCCTGGAAAACCATCAAGTCATCAAGGACTCTTTTATTTTACAACTTAACTTGCATAATACATTAAGAAATAATGGTAATCTGGATATATATATATATATATATATATAGCATTTATTTTGTGATTGGGCAAAGGAGATCAGGGCAACTTGAGGGAAAACAAACCTCAGGGTGCATTTGTCCTTCATCTCCTAATTTGGTAGCTTTTCCATTACTGCTTGCTGAGCATGCATGAAGAAGTCAATTAGTGATAAAAATAGAGAAAATGACATTGTTCACCATCATTTTTTTTGCAAACAAATTTTTTTTTAAATCGCAGTAATCACCCGATCTGTTGATAGAGTGTTAATAAAATGTGAAACTTCTAGTTCTAATGACTAAAAAAATACAATTCTTGATGGCTTCAAACATTAATAAAAAATAAAAAACAAAAAATAGGGTCTAAGAGACTCCATCAATAGGAAATAACATCACACATTTGGAAATCTATGAGCGGTTAATTGCAATAGAGAAATGGAGACAGAAAGAGATATCTGCAATGGACTGACCATGATGATGAGGGGGCACTCGAAGGCTTTCTGAGAATAGGCAAACCATCAAGAAGATCAAAACTAGCATTAATCCACCAACTCCAACAGAGAAGTTCTTCATGTTTCTTTGTTAATGTTCGTATATAAAAAAAAAAACAACAGAAATTAGAGAAACTCGAAGAGATATAATTATAATTTCATGAGAGATGTTGAGATAGACAGAAGAGAAGATATAGAAAACCATGCAAGCAAAAACAAAAAGGCTTGGGGGAGATTTGGTGGTGGGCAAGTGAAGCAATATATAAAAAGAGATTGGGGATGGTTTTAAATGTAGGAGGGTACACCTGATACACCTCACATGATCCACGGCTATCTTTTGAAAAGGTTTCACATGATTTGGTAAGTCATCCACAATTAAACCTATATTAATATTGGTACCCAAGAACACATTAAAAGCTAAAAGTACAAAACAAAATTTGAACCTGTCATAGTAGAAATTAAAAAAAAAAACCAATCAGCAAGTCACTTCAAAGAATTTAACTGGCTTATCGAGACAACCATCTACATCTAAAAATGTAGGCAACAGAAGGAATAACTCTACATATGTTTTATGGGTGTTTTCAGTTTAATAAACCCTAAGCTGATAATTTTTTGAATCCCTAAAATATAATAACAAATGTGATAAAAAATAGTAGTCCAGTATGCAAAGCAAAAGCCTTGAAATGGGTAGGAGATATGAGGGAGTTCACGTGTGCAGACACTTGGTGGGATCCAATTCCAGTTTGCCTGCTTGCCTGCCATAAACGTGAAGTCGAGAGCCTTGACTTAAATGAAGTAGTATTTATATATTGCTTCACTTCTTCCATGCTGCATGACCCTCTTCCCCTTTACGATGTCTCTCTTTAATGCTCTCCCTATTGATCAACTATTCACCAGTGAGCAGTGACTTTGTCTAGACAAGGGTTCTTCAGCTCATTCTTCCCAAGGATCACGTTTCTTTTCCAAGCTTCGCATCTGTCACTAAATTTTTCAACATAAAATATCAACATCTGTTTATCTCTATTATTATTAATATTTGACATTTTTAAAATACAAAGAACCTGAGGTAGGAAACATTGTATCGAGTCACTTCCAATCATCAATACAGGAGCATGGCAGATTGATTTTTTTAATCATTTAAATTAAATAAAATATTAGGAATCACTACAATTTTAATATTATTTATTGAGAAGATAAATCATATCTAGAGTTTATGTAAACACATCAAAAAATTTATACATATATGTTAGACATTATTTGAGTCCAAAAATTTAAGTTATTAAATTTTTGAGTCTTTCATGCATATATAATATATCTTATTTAGATATATAAAATTTTTTACACATATGTAAATCATATTTCAATAATTCATGACAGATTATTTTTTATTAAATTATTAAGTCTTCGTTTAGTTAAAGTTTTTGTTTATTCTTATTTTTGCTTTTTGTAATAGAAAAATAAAAAGCAGAAAATGAGAAGGAAAGGCGTCAATCAACCGAAATTTACCTTTTAATGTTTTAGGGGAAATTTTAATATTGATGTCTAATTGATTAATGTTTGTACAGTTTTTAGTAACATGTTTCTTTTTTTTTAATGCTTGTTGGATAATAAAATTACCGTTTATCAAAAAAAAAAAAAGAAAAGTGAAATGTTGAGAATGAAAAGCCACCAGTATTTCACTTTGCTGGAGTGTAGTAGAGAATGAGAGATCACCTTTTGTTTCATCTTTTGTGAAAATTTTCATTTTTTTTTCAAATTAAAAGTCTGAGTAATTGTATTTCATTTTATTCCATCATTTTTTTAGTTGTTTTTGAGTTTAATGTTAGTTTCCTATCCTTCTAATTATCTGAAATATAAATAAATTCATGGCCCATTTGTTAGTTGTATGCCATTTTGATTTGGTTTCCTATCTAAAAATATAAGTTTTCAAATGAACAATATTGTCAAAATGATTTGTAGTAAAACTAAGCCTTTTTCCAATTGAAAACATGTAAGGAGGGATCAACCTTGTGAAAAAGAATCAATCTTTTTCTAAACAAAAAGATTCCCATGAGTTGAATTGCACAAAGGATAGATCCTTTTTTGTAGTTTTGTAGGGATAGATCCCTAGCATTTGGATTCTTCTAAACACCATTGAAGCTAAGAGCATCATTTTGTAAGGGCTATCAATCAAATTTTTTACGCATTCAAGTGTCTTACAGCTTTAAATTTAAATTACTTTGTAATTCATGTATCCAAATCTTATTTCATATTCATTTTTGTTTAAGATTGCATCACATTAGCAAACACTCCACCTTTGTGAGTTTATTTAGTTTGCAAAAATCTTTGTTCACATATCTGAAATTGTGAGGTTAAAGGGAGTGAAGTCTTTAGAGTAATTTGGTGAAAATCTAGGTAGAAACATTAAGGGTTTAAGTGAATTTGTGAGTGATTATGATTATGAGGAATCTTCTTGAGAAAATTTGAGTTTGGATTAGATACTTAATGTGTTTGTGAGAGTTGTAAAAGTTATATCTAAGCATCGGAAGGTAATTGTAAGACTGAAAATTTAATGGGTTGGATTTCTTGTCAAGAGGAAACTTATAGAGATATAGATGTCTTAATGAATACCTGAAATTTTATAAATTATTGTATTTGAATTTTCTATCTATTATCTTTTGTTTAATTTCAAGTTTAATATCTCATATATATATATATATTATATTTACTGCATTGTTATTTTCACTTATATTTATTAAAATTTAATTTAAAAAATTGAAATCAATTCAGTTCACTTCTCCCTTGAATTGTTTATTTGCACATAAGCAAACAATGAAGGCAAGAAGAAGTAGTATAAGATTGTGAGAACCGCAATCAATCAAGCATTACATTTTCTTTACTTAAGTTTTTTGCACATATATATATATATATTTTTTTTTATAAAGGAGGACATAGTTTGAAGATAAAAAAAAAAAAAAAGAATTATAAGTATTAAGATTTGAATTTTAAATTTATTGAATTTCATATGAATAAATTAGACCAAGTTTTGGGTTTTTTTTTTAACACTACTAGCTTTTTTTACTTTTCCTGCATTAGGTTTAGTTGTTATGTAGAATTTCCAATTCTTGTGCTTATCTCAACTTCTGTTGGAAATATAAGGTTGATAAGCCTTTGGTGGCTTTAAATAAATATTTCGCTAGTCTTTTACTCAAACAAATTATCAAGCAATAATTTGACCAAATCCAATTTGATCATAAAAAGTTAATAACCTTAATCAAACTAACCTATAAAACTGAAAATAACTCAAATTCAAATCAAATTGACTCTAAATCAATTCAAATTCGAAATGGCTTAAAAGTTATAATATATTTTTAAATATAAAATTTTTAAAAAATAATTTTTTATGATATATTATCAATATAAATTATGATTTTTATTTTAAAAATATAACATATATTGAAATTTTATAATTTTTAAAAAATAATTTTAGAATATATTTTAACATAAATTATATTTTTATCTTAAAAATTTAACATAAAATTTTAAATTTTGAAAAATTTCTTATAATTTATTTTTAATATAAATTATGCTTTTTTTTTTTAATCTTAAAAACAATATTTATATATTAAAACTTTAAAATTTTAAAATATATATATTTTTTCATAATATATCTTCAGCGTATACTAATTTTTTTTATTATTTTAAAAATGTAATTTATGTTAAAACTATAAACTTTTAAAAAAATAATTTTTTTTACTTAAAAAAATCTCAGAAAAATGAGAGTTTGGGATTCCTTTATCTTCCCCTTCTAAAGTGTTAGATATGTAATATTTCGGATGCCATAAAACGATACACCAAACCAATCCAAGCGGAGTAATATATTACGAAAAATTGGATTCACGATCCAAACGCTCCTTATGTAATTATCTTCGTCAAAAATCTTTCCCCCAATTTCTCTCACTTTCCAGGGAAACAAACGTACCTTTTGTACCTTTCTCTAACAAAGGTATATTTTTCAGTTATATATATATAACTCTCATTTAAGCTCTGGAATTTTCCAGGGTTTCGACTTTGCTTATTTCTGTTTCTCTATTTATTGAAAAATGATATCTGTTATGAACAACGATGCTGAATTCGATACAAGATCGGATAAAATCGAAGAGAAAGGTAGGGTTCCTAGCGATGAAGCTATTGACAGCTCAAATGAAGAGAAGAGATTGAGCTTAGGAATGTCTAATGTAGAAGTTAGGGTTTCTTCGGTGGAATTCGATTCGGAAGATGACAGGGTTTCCGAGAATGATAGATCTGAGGAGGTTAGGGAGAGTGACGGTGATAGTGTAGATAAAGGAATAAAAGATGATGAGAATGATAGAATAAAAAATACAGGTTCAGAGTATAAGTCATTGTTATCTGAATTTGATGATTATGTAGCCAATGATAGAATTGGTGGAGGGACTTCGAGGGCATTGAGTTATGGGCTTGAGGTGGGTGACATGGTTTGGGGAAAGGTGAAGTCTCATCCATGGTGGCCGGGGCATATATTCAATGAAGCATTTGCATCTCCTTCTGTACGTCGCACAAGGAGGGAGGGACATGTGCTGGTTGCTTTCTTTGGGGATAGTAGTTATGGGTGGTTCGACCCGGCTGAGCTTGTACCTTTTGATCGTCATTTTATGGAGAAATCGCAGCAGACAAATTTGAGGACTTTTGTGAAGGCTGTGGAAGAGGCAATGGATGAGGCTAATCGGAGGCGTGGTCTTGGTTTGGCTTGTAAATGTAGGAACCCATATAATTTTCGGCCCACAAATGTCCAAGGGTACTTTGCGGTTGATGTGCCCGATTATGAGCCAAATGGGGTTTATTCTGTGAAACAGATTAGGAATGCAAGAAATAGTTTTAAGACCGGTGAGACCCTTTCATTTGTGAAACAATTGGCATCAGCCCCTGGAGCTTGTGACCAGCAAAGCATTGAGTTTTTTAAGAATAAGGCTACTGTTTTTTCTTTTCGGAAGGCTGTGTTTGAGGAGTTTGATGAGACATATGCACAGGCATTTGGGGTGCAGCCAGCACGACCTTCTAATGCTCCAGGTGACATATCCAAACAGCCTGTTAAGCAGACACCTCGAGGTACTTGTCTACATACTTTATTGATGATTCCTGGAAACTGCTTCAGGTCTTGGTTTCGTGAAATTCTCAACTATCTGTTCTGTCTTCCTTGGTTTTACATTAAATTTCAAAGTTCTTGTGGTTTTTGAGCATAGTACTGCTGCACTCGTTAGACTTTAAACCAAAACAGTTACAACTCTCACATGGTTAAAGCTGGTATTCTATTGCATGCTATTTCTTGGCTTTTAGTTCATACTTTTGAATTTCTATAGTACCATGTCTTTTGATGTCACATTTTTGTTTGATTGAATGATGCACGGTTAGAGTAAGATGTAAGTTTCTAACAAGTGTATTGCATTGCTAACAATATTCAATTCATGCAGATTTTGGGCCAGTATGATATCTTTTATATGGTTCTTAATGCAATCATGAAATGAGTTTGTTTACTAATTTTCATCTCTGTGAAATTGTCTTTTAACTGTAGTAAAGATGATTTTCATCAAAATATGTTTTCTTTTACGTTGACTTTTCTGGAAATGGTCTCCATTGCTCTTCATTGGAAGGGTCATCTTAGAACACAATAATGGCACTGGTTTCCATGTGAATAGTGAAATGTCGCTCAACTTTATGATCTTGGCACTGCAACAACTTGTCTTTGGATTTTTAGCCTTGTGATTGATGTTTAGGCCTCTTTTTTACACTGTACCTATGAAGGCCTTTTGTCAGCTTGTATCTTGTTAATGAGCAGCTGCTAAAGAACCAAAAAGTTATGTATAAGTTTTGTAATACTTTATGGTTTATTCATCTATTGACCATGTTTATTTAGTATACAACAGTGAAAGGATAGATGAAGTCTTCATGTCCCTATACGTCCACTGTCCAATGGTAATATTTGCATGCATTCATCTTGATTATTTTGGTTTAGTTGTGAACACTATCATGTCTCTGTTGCCATTTCCAGCTCCTTTGAGTGGTCCACTGGTGATCGCAGAAGCCTTGGGTGGTGGAAAGAGTTCTAAAAGGCCCATGAAAGTTAAGGACCATTCAAAGAAAGACAGATACTTATTCAAGCGAAGAGATGAAGCAAATGACTTGCAAGCCCCCCCTCAAATTAGCCAAGTGCAGGCTAATTCATCAACGCAATCGAATTACAGAGAGGGATCACCAACATTTGTAGCCGGAGATTATGTGTTGCAGAAGAGGGCTCCAGTGTCTCAGATTCCTGTTAAACAAGAGCAGACTGTCTTTATGAGCAGGGATGGTGCAAGTTCAAGTAGAGATTTATCTGGCAATGAAGTTGTATCTGTAAACCAGACTTCAGCCACTGGTGCTGCTTTAGCTGGAAAGCCAACCTTGAATAAAATTGATGGTGCATCTGCAGCTTTTCAGCGGGAAGGTGATGCTATTGAACTTAATCCTGAGGAGGGTGGAAATTTGTCCAGATTGTGTCAAGAAGTTCAGAAACCTGATCTGGGTTCCACTGCAAAACTGGAAGGAGGCCAGGGATTAGATCAAGTTCGAGAAGGTTGCACTGGTGGGCATCCTTTCCCTGTTGATGCTAAGCACTCTGGTGGTATGAGTGCTGAGGGTGGGGTGAAGAAAGCAAAAAAACGCCCTTTGGCGGATATAGGTGCTGAGAACTCTGCTTTGGGAGGGAAAAAGAAGAAGAAAAAGAAGAAAGAGGATGGCTCTGAAAAAAACTCTGATAAATCACAGAAGCTTTTTTTCCTTGGAAAAGGTGGGACCAAATCGGCCCAGATTGGTTTGTGTCTTAGAGAAGAGTCTAAGGTGAGCCATCAGAATAAAGATGTTGCTCCTACACATTCCTTATTCAATTCTGTTGGGGCTTCCACAACTACTGGTATGGGAAATTCTGGGCTTGAACTTGCACAATTACTGAGTGATTTGCATGCCCTGGCTCTTGATCCCTTTCATGGTGTGGAAAGGAATAGCCCAACAACTATTTGGCAATTCTTTTTGCGATTCCGATCACATGTTTATCAGAAAAGCTTGGTTCTGTTGCCTTCATCTGAGATGGAGCCTGTCGAAGTTTGTGCCAGTAAACCTCCTTTGGTTGGAGCCTGTGATAACCTTCCTAACGAGAATAATAGAGATTCAGCTTCTTCAAAATCAGTGAGACTCCTTGCAAGACCTGATGATCTGACAAAAGCTGGATGGAAACGTCTTCCATCTAATCATCAAGAAGAAATTGCTGCAAAGAGGTTGAAAAAAATTAGTCAGTTGAAATCATTGGCTGCGGAGAAGAAGGGCAATCTGAGGACTATGGAAGCACCAAAAGCTGAGGGAAAAGAACAACCAACTGCAGGGCCCTCAGGAAGACCACTCAAAAAACCAGATTCTGCAAGGAAAATGGATCTGCCACCTAGGGCTGTTGAGCCTACGACGCTGGTGATGAAGTTCCCTCCTCAGGTATCACTTCCGTCAGCCGCAGAACTGAAGGCAAGATTTGGTCGTTTTGGGTCATTAGATCAGTCAGCTATCCGTGTGTTTTGGAAGTCCTCTACATGCCGTGTTGTGTTCAGACACAAGATTGATGCACAGGCAGCGTATAGATATGCTAATGGAACTAATTCCCTATTTGGCAATGTGAATGTGAGGTACCATCTTCGAAGTGTGGAAGCTCCTACAGCTGAAGCACTAGATTCTAATAAGGCTCGGGGAGATGATAGTGCCAGTGAAACCATTCGAGTTAAGGATCCTGAAATTGAAAGACCAGCACTAGTGCTTGCCCACCAGCCTCTTCCCAAGCCAACAGTCCAGCTGAAGTCCTGTTTGAAAAAGCCAACAAGTGACGAGGGAGGGCAGGCAAGTGGCGGTAATGGAGGGAGAGGGACAGCCCGTGTAAAATTCATGTTGGGTGGGGAGGAAACTAGTAGGGGAGAGCAATTGATGATTGGTAATAGAAACAACTTCCACAACAATGCTAGTTTTGCCGATGGTGCACCTTCTGTGGCAATGGAATTTAATAGTAAGAACTTTCAAAAGGTCATTCCTCAATCATCGACTCCCTCTCCCGTTCACCCAATTCCTCAATTTGGGAAAGCCCTAGCAAATAATATGCATCCCACTGAAGTGGTTCCCAGAAATGCTCACAATCTTAATACTCAAACTATCCCACAACCTAGTACAACGAGCATAGATATTTCAAAGCAGATGCTAAGCCTTCTGACAAGATGCAATGATATCGTAACCCACGTAACGGGCTTGTTGGGCTATGTGCCTTACCATCCTCTTTGATAAAAAGGTCACCAGCAAAATTTAACGTTTTTGATCAAAATCAAAGGTGGGGTTCAAAGCTGCTGCAATGAATGCGTGATTGCTAGGAGTTTGCAGCAAATGGGAGCAGAAAAGCCGTGGGGTCTTTGTATTATTTTTGGAGGGTTGGGTTGGTTGGTTTGAAGAAGAGCTGTTAAAGAGAGTGCGATCGAGAAAACCCAAGATGGGAGGAGTTGGGTTTAAAATAATGTTGTGTACTCCTTTTAAAGCTGCTGCGGCGCATACTTCCAATTATGTACTGGTTTTGATAATGCAACTGCAATTGCAAGGCAGTGTAGTATCCTCTTTTTCTAGCATCTTTTTATCTCGCCCACAGATCCGTGTGTGTGCGTGCGTTGTTCTTATTATGTGATGAGTTTAGTGTATGTTTCATTTAATTTTGTAGGTGACACGTTGTGAACCAAGTAATCAAGCTAGAAACCAAATAATAGAGAATATTGATATTGAATGATCCTTAGATCTACGTCTCCTTTTTTTTTTTGGGTATTGTTCTGTTGAACAAAATCAGATTCCTCGTTTTTATTTCATATTAACAAAAATCAATCCTTGCAATTGGTAAAGATTATCGTTATAGGACAGAAAAGAGAGAATGAGCTCTAATAATTTTCATTTTCATTCTTCTCATCTTTCTTCTCTCAACTTCTTACTCTTCCACTTCCTCGTCTTTCTTACCCAGCAAATCATATCACTACAAATGTTACTTAAGATCGTATCAGTAATATAAATGTTGTAGATGAACTATCTGCATAAAATTATGAAAAAAAGCATGAAAATTATATGGATTAAAATTTTAACAAAAAACATATATAAGTTTAATAGAAACTAAAAAATATATTTTATGTCGACATAAATTATAACATGTAATTTTTATATAAAATACAAAAAAAATTATACAAATTCTTGCTGTTTTATATGATACAAATACACAAATTACCATATTTATCCATGACAACAGTGGGCGCTTTTATAGTTTTTTTCTTACCAAACAAGTTTCTTCTACCAATTCAGAAAGGTTTTTAGTTAATGCATTTCTTTTCTATCAATTCCCAATAATAAAGTAATAAAAATAAGGGAAGGAAATGACTTAATTTTCTGAAACAATCACGTATTCATGGCTAGTACCTGTTATCTATTCTGACGCTCTTCTATGCCCATTTTGCAGAACAACTAAGAAAACATACAAAAATTGGTAAGCATGTCATCTTTATATATTTATTGCCTGGAAAAAAGTAGTAAATTTTCCATCTTGTTGCAAGCTATGGCACCATATTCATGATTTAATATCACGTTTTCAACTGATACATTACATACTTAAGACATATAAAAGATAGAGATTTGGTGGTGGCATGAAGGTTGTTAACGAAGACGACAACGATGAGTGCATTCACAAGTGATAGAATCCAAACATCTCCTTGTATACAGTCTATCAAACTCCTTGGCTTCACACAGCTTGTTGCATGTTTCACGGTTGCAATGTGGTTCCATTAGCATGTCAAATTTGTCATAGCAAATCCCTTGATGCCCATAAAATCCTTTGTAGCTCGCCCCACCTGCATGCCCCATTCACACTTCACTCATAATATGAAACTCTGTCTTTATATAAACATATTTTGAGCAAAAACATGCACAAACAGTTAAGAGAGAGAGAGAGAAAGAGACCTGAAGGCAAGGTCAGTGAGAGGATGGCCGCAAGGGAGACAAGAGCAAGAGCCTTCCTCGTCATCTTTCTTCAAGCACACAAGCCTTGCCTTGGTTGATGAGATATATCAAAAGATAATGAAACATTCGGCAATGGCTAAGAAGCATTTTATAGCTGGGTATTGACCATTAAAGTAACTGCCAGAGCTTGCACAGTCCAATCTGGAGTGGACCCTCCAAACCATACAAGACAAAGCATCTACATTTGGTTCTATTATTTGACTGGTCAAATCCTAAGTCATCCTTCCTGGCTGGCACTACAATTTGGCATAAGAATCAACTAGATTTCCATACACATTCTATATGTCAGTTTTACTCGTATATAATATTTATGTAACTGCAATCAAACAACAAATTTGTTTTTTTATTTTTTTAAACAACGCATGAAAATCGGTTATTATTTATTCCGTTAGAAAGCAAATATTATTTAGTTTAGTACATATATGTTTTTGATTATCTAAATTTGTTGTTTTTAGAAGATTTTAATAGATTTAATGATTTAAACTATGATATGGTAATACGATGTTAATATAATACGAATAAAGAATATGAAAATAATATGTTTGAAATTTTAGTAATAATTATATATGAATTTTATAAAATAAAAAATATATATTTCATGTTTTTATATAAATATGAATTATAATATATAATTTTAATACAAAATATAACATCAATATACGAATTTTAGTACTTTACATTATATGAATAGCTAGGTCTAGGCTTCTTACTCATTTTAGTGCTTACTTAAAATGTAATTGATAGTTTTTAAGAGGCAGTTCTTGGGTTTGCATTTCAGGTGGAGCATATAATAAGAGAAGAGAACATGGTGGCTGCTCAGGAGATCCTTGAGCTGTTTTGCAAGCTTATTGCCCTCCGTCTTCCAATCATGAGACTCAAAGGTTATTGCTTCAATTTGCTGCATTCTTTTCTTTTCTTTCTTAATATTTTGAATTTGCATCCCAATTGCTCTGGATCTGAACCTGTTGGGTAGGATGAATTTTGCAATGTAGCTAGGTGGCGATATCAACTTTAGGTCCAAGTGTCACACCAAGTGCTCAAAGAGAGTAGGCAAGGTATTTTAATATCACATCAGATAGAAAAAAAAAAAATTGTTGGGTATATAAATGTTGGCGCTGCACACTTCTATGAACTAGTTTTATGAGGAGACTAAAGCAAAAATATAGCATTATATATTTTGATTTTGAAAGTATCAATTTGCTTTGAAAAAATTTGATACTCTATTTATGTTTCGACATGTTGGTTCAATACATCATGACCACCAAAGTATTATCTTTAATATGGTTTCATTGAATGTTTGATTCAGTAAATTCTTTATAATTGTCATAGCACCTTTCTCCTATGCATTACCATGCCAATGTTAAAATTTCGGGCTGCCTTTGGCAATTGCATATGTGAAGCATTAGCACCTTTTTGGAGGTCGGTCAAGCTGTGGCTAGGTTATTATGATTAGCACATGTTACTTAAATAATGTAAAAGCTGCACTTGATGCTCTTCATTAGAAGCACTTTCACAGTGGTCAATGCAATGCTGTCAATATGTCCACACTTGTTGATATGACTAACTTTGTTTTCTTCATGAATGAGATCGTTTGCAAAATGCTGTGTTTGTTTGATTTGGATCTCTTATATCCTTACACAAGAAGTTGATAAGGAATATAATTTTTGAAGTTGCTCAAAAAAAAAAAAAAACACTGCACTTTGTGGAAAGAAAATTTGAAGAACCATCCTTTTTCAGGGAATGTCATCTAGATTTGAAAGATGCGATATCCATCTTTTGTTTTGCTACACCAAGATGTGACGATCTACCAGAGTTGCTGCAGGTTCAAATGCTATTTACTTCCAAGTATGGGAAGAAATTTGTATCAGCTGCAACTGAGCTGAGGCCAGATTGTGGTGTTAATCGTCAGGTATTATAAGTTCGAAGGTTGATTGTATATTGTTATTTTGTATTTTTACTCTTCCAGTTGACATTCTTCTTTTAAATTATAAATGCAGTTAATAGAATTGTTATCTGTACGTTCTGCTTCTCCCGAAGTAAAGTTCAAGCTTCTTAAACAAATTGCTGAAGAGCATGAGTTGGAATGGGATCCAGCTTCCACTGAGACTCAGTTTTTCAAACCACATGAAGATTTATTGGTAAGAAAACTATAGACTCTGCTTACTCTTGTCCTCTGTTCCTATCTCATTGAACTTGCCTTTTTGCTTGTCAGAATGGCCCAACACAGTTTGTCAATGGGTCTAATTTGCTCTTTCCTGCAGAGAAACACGATGAAACATCGACTTCTGCTGCTGATCATGCCCAAACCGAGCAGCTTGATTCTGATACAGATTTTGACCTATTAGATTTTCCTGAAGTTCCTAAGGTGTCATTGCGGCCAAGCACAAATGCTGCGTCAGCACCAGTAATTAGCCCACCTTCACCTGCTGTGCCGGAGCCTGAAATTGATCATGGTTCATCCAGACATTCTGGAGCTTCTGGATATGTGTTACAAATGTCATCAATGGAGCCCAATTTATTGATACTAGAAAATTCAGTCACTAAAGAAAATGAAATGCCCAATGATCCAGCTGGAGCCTGAGAAAATAAACAGTTTCTGCCTTTCATTTCTCCTCCATCGGTATCTTCTGCATCAATTTCTGCAAGACCAAGTGATCCAGCACCGACTATTTTGAGAACAAAAAGTGAGGCCAATGTAGACCGACAGGATGTTTTAGCTGCTGCTCGGGCAGCTGCTCAAACTGCTGAGCGTGCGGCAGCTGAAGCTCGCTCAGCAGCAAGTCTTGCACAAGTTAGAATTGCTGAACTTGCGCAGAAAAAGAATGACCAGGTCATTGAGAGTATCAGCTCTGAGAACCCTTTTCATACAGATATTCCTCACCAACCAGCTAGTTCAGAAAAGCCAAATTTTGATCATCGAAACTCTTTCAGTGATCCTGGTGATGTATTATATTCCTTCAGTCGACAAATGAAAAGTAGATTTTGATTCACCGGTTTCCAGTCACCATACACTTGAACTAAGCCACCCTCAACACCAGCCGAGGAGATTGCCTTCAATGGGTGATGAATACTTCTCATATCCGAACCTTTTCTCGAGACACAATTCAAACCTTGGATCTGGTGGTTCTTCTCAAGATAATTCCCATACTCATTATTAAGGATACCATGCATTTTGTTAATCTTATTTTTTGGTTTTTCCCTGAGTGGATTTTAATTATAACAGTTTCACTATATTGTATTAATCTTTATTTTATTTGTAAAGTGTTGAGGTTATTAAAATTTCCGAGTGTAAGTTGGGTTGTCCTGGTACTCGCGAATGCAGCATTAAGCTATAAACATGTACTGCCATTCCAAAAAAATTTAAATCCTCTAGAAAATGGGATGGGATGGGATGGGATGGGATCCCCAGACCCCTCTGGCATGCCACAAACTGTGTAGAAGAATTTAAAACTAGGAGACCATGAAATGGAAATTTGGGTTAGGCTGCTACAGCTGCAACTAATTGGAAACATCATGGTGGCTCAGTCAAAACTGCAGCAGAAGATAAAAATTTGCACCTCAACAAAGCTGACTCATATGCACAAAATGAAATGAATACAATGCGGAATGGGCTTACAGGAGACATAAATCGGGATATGGTCATCAAATAAAAAAGAAAAAAAATATCATAAAAAATAACTAGTAAAAACCTTTCCCTTTTTCACTGTAGCTATGCCATGGTCACCTTGG